AATGCTGGTCCCTTAATCTTAGATATTCCAAGAGGTAAAGAGAATAAGGAAACCATGAAAGATGCATTTTTGGAATTCTTCAGGTCGACACCACCACCATCAAACAAGAGGAAAAGTGCGCAGATCAGGCTGTTCCAATACGGAGAATGTGTGACCGATAGCGACATGCTTGAAAGGCTGAGGGAGGGTTTTGGTTAGAAAGAAAAGGTGGAGAAAGATAAGAATAAAAGATGTAAAAAAAAGAAATGAATGCCAGGACTTTCGGCCAAGCAAAGAAGAAAAGGAAATCCTTATCAAGTGAAAACACGCCAGAAGAAGCTGATGATGTTGATGAACCTTTGCCAGAGTTGTGTGAAGTTTGTGTCACAGACGATGAAGGGGTCTGGGTGGCTTGCAACACATGTACGAAATGGTTCCATGTGGAATGATCTGGTCTAGGCGATATAAGTAAAGACCAGGCTAGCTCATTGGATTTTGTGTGTTACCAGTGCCAATAGGCTTTGCCTTTGAACTAACTTAAATTACAAGTGCAAACAAGCTTTTTTAAGTTACCCTTGAACTAACTTACCAATATGGTACTCTATGATTTATCTAAGTCTATTGGTAATTGTTGAAATTTATAATATTCCAAAATAACAAAGATTTTATGTAAGTTTACCTATGCCTTAATAAACAGATTTTTAAGTTATGCATTATTTAATTGATACTTACGAATACCCCTGGAAGCTTAACATGGAGTTGCTTATTACCCCTCAAAATTAACATTTGGTGCTTAATACCCTGACATTAGGGTAATAAGCACTTGCACGCAGACTTATCTAAAAGTATATTTGTTAATTATTTCACAATTCAAAATTAACATTTCCTTACATGAAATTATAGAACAAATATTGAAGTTCACAAGTAAATTTGGTATTTGAATGGTAAACAATAACTTCAATATCAAATTGTTATTAAAACGTCAAATTTTACATTTAGTGGTGCTTATTACCCCAGTTTACTTATACTGTTATCATTTTGTAAACTGGTTTATGTTGTAAATAAACAGATTAAATAAAAAATTTAAAAAATAAAAAAACACGAGGCTATTTGAGTCGAATTGACACTGACTCAAATAGTCTCGTGTTTTTTTTTAATGCCCTGTTTTGAATCGGGAAACCGATTGACCACGACCGTTGTGGTTGTTTTGCCTAAATGCCTAAATAAAGTATTAAAGTATAATGTACTACTAATAACATTTCTTATGTTTGTATAAAACCTTAATGTAATAAATAATTTACAAACAACCTGCATCGTTTACTGGATTTAACCTTTTCCCAGACAAATTACAGGTTACAAAGAATAGGAGAGTAACCGAGTGAGTGTCGATTCAACAACTGCTCAGATGGGCTTGTGTTTTATTATACTCCATATTGTTTTTTTAATCAGATCGATCGTGATCGTCTTTACCTAGATGTACTCCAAAAATAGTATTTAATTATGATGTCTATTTAAACCTCAGTTCGTAAATAATTTAAAAACGGGCTGTGTTAAACAACTCAAATTGACTATTGATTAAACACTCTTCAGGATGTTGGTTAGTCCATGATTGGATCTTTTTCCGAACCGATGGTGGGTTTCAACCGAGGAAAGTGATCTGATCAAACTAATCGGGACCTCGATGAAATCGCCCACAAAACAATCGATCGGGCATACGATTGGTGGGATTGCTCCCACTCCACTTCCTCCTTCACACCCCCCCCCCTTCCGTCTAAGAGGCCTTAAATACGGAGCGGTCGGGCACGAGGCGATCAGTCGTCAGTGAGCGTGGTCAGTGCGAGTTGTGTACGGTAGACTCCCAAGTACTATAGTTTTCTTTGTGTGTGTTTCACTTAATATTTTAAGATTTTTATCTGATCTTATATTTTGTTGTTTAGTTATTTTACACCAATTCAGACATCATGTCTTTTTTAAATGACTCTTTCCCTAACAACCGCCACATTGACATGGGAGCTTCGTGCGACACTACCAGACCGCCCAAGGAGCAGATGGACGCGATGGTCACCCTCTGGACGAATGACAAACGTCCAGCATATATCGTTGCAGACGAAGACGTCCCACACCTCCCTGCCACATCTATATCTGTGTATAGTCCAATTAAACAGTCCTCCCCCGTCGGACTCATGGAGTGTTTTATGAAGCAGGTATTTCATGAGCTGTCTTTCCACCCTTTCGACATCTTTACAACATGTATCTGAAAAACTACTTAGCACAACTGAATGTTTAACAGAATCCAGTGGAGAGACAACAGAGATTAAACAACAATCGAAAAAACTGAAGAAAGACTGCGCGGATCTAAAAAGCAGGACTAATATGCCAGAGGAGAGGATCTGTATCTTGGAACGGTCCAACAGACAAAACAACATCATCATAACAGGAATTCCGAAGACTCCAGATGAAAATTTATACAATATCCCCTTAATGTACCGTTTGAAACAAGTTAACTAATGGTCACACACAGGATCCCTACTTCTCCTCGAGCACATTCATCAAATATACTCGTCACGTTTCTCAACTGTGAGACTAAGGATAAGTGGCTCGCGCGTTTCAAAATTATCAGAGTTTAAAATTGCCAGCGTGTGCACATCTGAGGGCACAGGGCACAGAACACCTGAAAACGAACTGTTCCTCAAATCGTTGAAGGAGAAATGCCTTCTGCTTCTTTATTATACCATATTGTCTTTTTAATTAATGTTAACTGAGTGGCACATTTCAATTTTGATTAGTTATAGGTTTTGTATAATATTTATAAATTGTATACTTTTGATATTTATAGAAATCTTATATATTATATAAAATGTATATTTATGTTTACTTTTAATTTTGTACATAAAGAATAACAGTAAGTAGTAAGGAAACATAAGTTCTGAAAAATGAATTTTCACGTGAAAACGGCATATAACATAGTTCTGGAACCGAAACCCGCCGTGAAAAAAAGTAAACGCCTCGACCAAACAATTGTGAAACCAAAACTGCGAATATGTTGCAGTGGTTAAATAATAAATTTGGCATCAATTTCACAGCGAGGCTAACCAATTGAAACGCTTAGTGAAAATATAGTGCTAATTTATTGTAACTAAATAAGTAAAACATCTTAAGTAAGATAAATAATCAATATTGCTTATAAACTGAAGGCTAAAGACTGATGAATTCTAGTGGGCGAGTAAGAAAAAGGAAATGCATTATTTAATTATTGTTTTTAATTAGTATATCTATTTTCATCTAAAAAGGAATACCCTTAAATTCTAATAACTTCTGTTGGATACTTTTGATTCCACTGATTCTTTTAAACTGTTTTTGTAGCTATACCGGCTCTAACATTTGACATGTCGCCAGCAGGATAAAAGGTAAATGAATCACTAACACATGTTATAAACAATTATTTATTGAAAAATTACAATGAATTTGTAGTATTGGCTCAGTTTAACGCTGCAACTGGTGCATCTAGTAAAGATCATCATTTAAAAGTTCTCTTAAATGATGACTATTTTCATCATCTTCACTAGATGTTACTCTCGGGTCCTGTGCTGCTCCATTAAGGGTGTTAGATGGAGCATATACCGTCTGTGCTTTGTACCAAGTGACATCATATGGTGTTCTAGAAGTTGATGATATAAATCCACTTTGGACAGTGCGCCGTGCTTTTTCAAAAAAGGCTTGATTCTTTTCAGCAATTCTTTTGATGAAATTCCAGAATCACACATTAAAGGAAGCTTGTCCTGAGATAAATCATTTGGAAAAAAATTGAATACGTTTGCGAATAGGTGGTGCGAGACTTGCGTTAAAAGAAGTTGCAAATCTAATAGCTCAGGTTGAGAAAAAAAATTATCCATGGTCTTCAATTTTGGAATTACATTTTGCCAGAGCGTGATAGAATTTAGTCCAAGAAGTATTATGTTTTGTGTGATTTGCAATAGACTTATCATCCCCGGTTTTCATACATCGTGTTCATCCATGTGCTGGGTAGTGGCTGCGGTGCTCATTACTGTGAAATATATATTTATATTAGAATCTCCCTATATTTGAATTGTGAAAGAGCATTTAAAAGAATGCTTTATCTGCCTGTGGATCCTATACCACCTACCTTTCTCTGTGTATTTTGGAGGTTGAAAATTTCCACTACACATAAATACATCATAACCTCACATATTAGCTGCGCAATTTTATCTCCTACCCTAACTGTATAATCGAGATCGGAATACAAAATAACGCCTACATTCCCGGTATAATCCTGATCTACAACCCCACCCGCTACTTCAATAAAATTGTTATAAGCTAAGCCTGATCTCGATGCTATCCTGCCATAACGGGTTTGTGGCAATTGCACTGCCAAGTCTGTCAATAGTAGAGCTTTGCCATGTTTAGGTATGATGACTTCATAAGATGACCTAAGATCAAGACCAGCTGAGTAAGGTGAGTAGTGGTGAACTGGTGGACCTATCGCGAACAGCTGTCAGCTGTCAGGGCAGATGTTGTGAATTAATTGAGTTTAAAGTGCATCAGGCGGAAATGGTGGCTTCCGGTGCTACGTCACTTTGTGACGTCATAGGTGATGGAATACGTCATGAGAGGGTGACGTATGCGGTATGACAGTGGTCACCAATTAAATGCAATGGAGGTCCATCCCAAGTTTCTAGAAGACTGTCACGGTCCGCACAAGGATCCGGGGGGTCTGGGGGGTATGGAATACCCCCCAGCCAAGAGGGGGGTCCGGGAAAAATTTTCAAAATTTCAGTTAAAATGGTGTGATTTAAGCCTATTTGCGCATGCTATTTGTAACATTTTTTTGTTGCCTAAATACCATATAAAAGTTTGAATTTATTAGAAAATAGCCTATTGTTTAGGCTTGGAAATAATCACAAATTATAAATTGTGTCATCAAATTTAATTTCACTTAGAAATTACATAAAGATACATAAAGTGCAAAAAAATACATAAAATACACATATGAGTATTCAAACTTAGTGAGAGAAATGACATTTTTTATTCTGGGCCACTTCTTTAAAGTTTGGAATGAGTCCTGTGCAGCTGATTCTCATCAGGTTGTTGAGGTGGCTGTCACTGAGGCGAGATCTGTATTTATTTTTGATAAAGTTCATCCTTGAAAATGCAGACTCACATGTGTACGTTGATCCAAACATTGTACAAAGTTTGATGGCCAAGTTTTTCAGTTCAGGATATTTTTCACTGCTCACATACTTGATCCAAAATAGCTCACACGAAAGTTCTTTCGGGACTTGTCTAAATTTGTCCTTCAGAGCAATGTCTTCCTGAAAATCTATTATTTCCATTTGCAGGGCTGCTTTATTACAATTCAAAACTACTGCTGCTTCATTGGTCCACTCTCCATTAGGCTTTAGAGAAAAACAGTTATTTAGGACTTGAACCACATTCCCTATTTTGTCAAAGTCACTAAATCGAGCTTCGAACTCAGATTTGAGGTCGTTTAAAAAGTTTACAAACTGTGTCATGTCAATAACGTCGTCGGTTTCACAAACTGAGTTCAGGCTGGCTTGGTGGAAAGTGCACACGTTCGTTACTGATATCTTCACACCAAAGAACAACCTTTCTCGTAAAGCTTCTAATTTCTGAGAGAAGTTCACACACAAGAAGTCCTTTCCCTTGAATCTTTAAGTTTAACATATTGAAATGTCTGAAGACATCTGTCAGGAAAGCTATTTTTGGGATAGTGTCTTCTGTATCAAGCAGAAAGCCCAAGTGTTCATTTGCAACTTCTTCACTACACTCCGAAAGAAATACTTTTATGTCCTCCATAACAGCAAAAAACCGTTGAAGTACAAATCCTTTGCTCAGCCACCTTACGTTGTTGTGAAGTAATAAATCGTCAAACTGTGCTTCAGTTTCCTCAAGAAGTGATTTGAATTGACGGTGCCTAAGTGAAGACTTTGATCGTATGAAGTTAATGATCTTAACTACAGTTTGCATTGTACCTTCAAGAGCAGGATTCAGTTTGCAACACAACACACTTTGATGGATAATGCAGTGGTAGGCTAGCAAACTTTCATTAAATTTAGGGTCTGTTTTCATTCGACTTACCAAGCCTTTGTTTTTTCCTGTCATCGCACCAGCACCATCTGTCGTTACTGATATAATTTTTTTCAAATCCAAGTCAGCTTTCTCAAAATAGTCCATTAAAACATTGTACAAGTCCTCTCCACGTGTTTGCCCTGATATTGGCAATATAGTTAACAATTCTTCCACAAACTGTTCTTTTTTAATGTCCAAAAACCTCACAAAAACAATCAATTGAGCTGTATCGGTAATGTCACATGATTCGTCTAACGCTAAAGCGTATCTGTCTGTAGCTGCTAGAATCTGTTTCAAGCTTTTAGAACTTTCTTCTGCTAAAACTTCAGTGTTTCGTGTGCTGGTAGATGCAGAAAGCGGCATGCGACGAATAGTGTCAACAACGTCTTGTTTATTCTCAAATAACACGTTTCCTGCCTCAATCATGCATTCTTTGACTATATCTGCATCAGTAAACGGTTTCATATGTTTAGCGAGAGTCCACGAAATACGCAAAGAAGCCTCTGCACATCTTTCTTGGGCAGTCATTGTTCGATTTAATATCTGGGTACTAGCTAAGTAGTTCGAACGTAAACTCTCAATCTTAGACTTGCGAAGATCACTTCCTGTTGGGTATTTTGTATCAAACGGCTTGTGTTTAGTCTCAAAGTGTCGTTTAACGTTTGAACTCTTGACAACAGATACAGTTTGTTGACATATCAAACACACAGGCACAGCTCCACTTTTGTTTGGAAGTATAAACAAATACTGGTCCGTCCACTCTGGTAAAAACTGCCTATTTTCACTGTCTACTTTCCGCTTTTTGCTATCCATTGTAAGTAATTCGCACTACACTTTTTGCATAACTAACACACGGCAGGATGAATAATCAATGAGAGAACTAAACACCACATTAGTTAACAAACAGACGACGCGACATCGACAGTGCTGACTACAACAGCTGAGCTAGTGCGGGCGCCGGGCGGCCTGGCGATGACGACGTGACGTGGCCACTGGGTGGGCGAGTTCAATTAGCGACGGAGGGGAGGAAGCGTGAAGAAAAAGCCGGTGCATAGCATCGCTTATAACGGTTTTTATCTAGCGCGGAGCACGGCGAATTAACTATGAATTAACTATGTTTCGATAAAAATAGTTTTCTCGTATAAAATATTTTAATCTTTAATGGTTGGTACCGATATATCTTTAGGTTCAAATAAAGTTTAAATTCACTAAAAGATAAAAATACATAAAAAACACAGTTTGTGAATTCGAACTAACGGTCCGTAAAAAATCAGGCGGCGGTCCGGATCCGGACCGCGGTCCGCCATTTGGGGACCACTGTGGTATGACGTAGGATTGGGATTATAAGTCAAAACTGCAGTTGGGTTTTATGCGGGTGTTTCCGGTGATACGTTACTTGTGACGTATGTGGGTAGTGACGTAGGTTGTTGAGGTAATTTGTGTGTGTTTAAAAGAATGGGAAACTACTTTACACTTATAGTGTAGGATAGCTTCTTTCTTTTGTTTATTCTTTATTTATAGAAAACAGAAGGAATGAGAGTAAGTTGTACAGTGTGGAAGTCAACAAGATTTCGTTGTCAGCTCATGACGACAAAAGATTCGTTTGTAATGATGGCATTACAAAACACCTGAGAATTAAAAGATGGAGAACGAGGTTAAGTTTGACTAAACTCGAGTGTAAATGGAATAAGTCAGAAATAGAGACTCGAGTGTAAGATTGGAAATAGCTGAAAAATTGATTGCCAAACCAAACTTTATAGATCGAACAGTGTACAATGAGATTTTGGGAAGGTCATCTTTTCTTTTTTTTACAGAACAACTGGCAGCTGTACATATGAGTAAGACCAAACTTCTATTCAACAAAGCAATCTACATCGAGTTTATTTGATTCACCCACCGTTGGTGTTTATTGTTGTTTATATCTAAAATTTGGTACTTTTAAACAATTTCCAAATTCAAACTATCCCCCTTAACTGACGTGTCTACGTACCGTACAGAGAAGTACTTGACCATCTGTCTGTATGATGTACAAACGGTTGTATTCAGTCTGTGTGATAATTAGAAAGAAAACCTGAGCTCACTGACTGTGCAACAAGTCGGTAGAGCAGTACACTACTGTTGAATGCAAAATAAAAAAGGAAGCTAGCCTACAGTTGTAATGATGGCATTAGGACTTTGACGATGGAAATAGCTGCAAAATTTATTGCTAAGCCTAACTTTATCGACCGAACCATTTACAATGAAAACTTAGTAGGCATTCATATGAGTAAAACCACAGTGATTTTAAACAAACCATTGAGCTTAATAAGATTGCATTATCAACTCATGATGATAAAAGATACATCTTATCCAATGGGATAAGTTCCTTACCATTGGGACACTCAAAAATTCCACAAGAAGAATTCGTCGAGATGGAAGAAGAACACTCGCTTTCGACAGACTAAGCTTGAAGTAATTTGCATAAGGGGGGTCTCCATAGCACAGGGTTATTTGGTCTAGACTTGTGTGAACCTCTTCCCCCCTGATTTTAAACAAACCAATCTATATTGGTATGTCCATATTAGATTTGAGCAAAGTACGAATGTATGACTTTTACAACGATATTATGAAGCCCCACCGTTGGTGTTTATTGTTGTTTATATATAAAATTTGGTACTTTTAAACAATTTCCCAGTTGAAATTACCCTCATTAGCTTATCTGCTACGATCCGTACAGAGTATAATTGACCACCTGCCTGTATGATGTACAAAAAGGTTGTATTCAGTAGAGCAGTACACTACTTTTGAATGCAAAAACTTGAACCCGCATTAATAGTTCTGTTGGTGGACACACACACACCTGCGGGCGGTGTCAGTAAAGCAGTACATGGAATTTGAAATATCCAAGTCGATAATGTAGTACTGTATGGGAAAATATTTCCAACTTAAACATCCTTGATCAAAGTTTAGTATTACTTTTAATTCTGTAGGTTAATCCTGCTCTGTAAGCGGTAGTTGTTTAATACCCGAGATCTGGAAATACACTGACGGAGACAATATTCATTCAAAGAAGCTCTCCCCCTCCTTGTATCGTAGTGGGAGTAGCGTGAGTCCTTGATCTAAGAGGTTTGCGGGTTCGATCCCTACCAATCACAAAAAAACGTTATATTTTTATTTTATTTTATACATATCTACTTGCTGTAGTTCATAACAAATGCAAAACAAATGATAATTCATATATCGAATGTTAAAAACAGTTGAAAGAAGGCTTAATTGGAACTTTACAGTTGAGTATAAAAAAATGGCCTTTGTAAAGGCCACCAATGTTGGATGTGCAAAAACTTGAACCCGCATTAATCGTTCTGTTGATGGACACACACACACACACACACCTGCGGGCGGTGTTGATAAAGCAATACTGTACTTGGAACTTGAACTATCCAAGTCGGTAATGTAGTACTGTATGAAGAAATATTTCCAATTCTAAACATCCTTGATCACAGTTTAGTATTACTTTTAATTCTGTAGGTTAATCCTGCTCTGTAAGCGGTAGTTGTTTAATACCCGAGATCTGGAAATACAATGACGGAGACAATATTCATTCAAAGAAGCTCTCTCCCTCCTTGTATCGTAGTGGGAGTAGCGTGAGTCCTTGATCTAAGAGGTTTGCGGGTTCGATCCCTACCAATCACAAAAAAACGTTATATTTTTATTTTATTTTATACATAAATCTACTTGCTGTAGTTCATAACAAATGCAAAACAAATCATAATTCATGTATCGAATGTTAAAACAGATGAAAGAAGGCTTAATTGGAACTTTACAGTTGAGTATAAAAAATGGCCTTTGTAAAGGCCACCAATGTTGGATGTTAAATTTACATTTCGTAGGTGTTATGTACTCTTAGGATGAGGGGTAATCTAAATGTTTCTAGCGGTTGGTAGTTTATGAAGCTATGTATGAACTAGAGGTTCGCGGGTTCGATCCCTACCAATCACCAAACGCTTAATTTAAAGTTGAAGTAATATGTTGATTTTCGGTATAGTATCGTATCGTAGTGGGAGTTCTTGATCCAAGAGGTTTGCGGGTTCGATCCCTACCAATCACAAAAAACATTATATTTTTATTTTATTTTACACATATCTACTTGCTGTACTCCATAACAAATGCAAAACAAATGATAATTCATGTATCGAATGTTAAAAAACAGTTGAAAGAAGGTTTAATTGGAACTTTACAGTTGAGTATAAAAAATGACCTTTGTAAAGGCCACCAATGTTGACGGTAGTACAGTTAACATATATCAAATACTCTAATGATAAAAGGTAACTAAGGCTTTTCTAATCGGTGACGTAACATTATTGTATTTCAATCCTGTAATAATTAAACAAACAGCTTGTACCACAAATGTTGTTTTGTTTTTTATATGTTGGTAGAGTAAGCCCATACAAATGTGTAAGTGTTTCAATTCATGTTTCTATGTGGTTGTTAACGTATATATATATATATATATATATATATGCAGGGTGACAAAAAAGTCTGGAAACGGTTCAATATCTTTTTAACTAAATTCGTTAGAAAATTCAAACCTTTCACATCAACTTATATGTATGAAAACTACTTTTTGCAGTCATTGCCATTATTTGACCTTCACCAGGAAACGGCCCACGAGGAGTAGGTACATAATCTTTAATGTAAGCATAGGTTGATATGCACATCATTTTAAAGGTCTGGTTAAGTGGAGTTCATTACCGGAAACCGCGTCAAAAAGGTTCATCCGTTACAAAATGGCGGCAGTTCAAAGTTCTTGCGGAATATACCTATTAGTATTGGTAAATACTCATAGTCAACATTAGCAGGGAAATCTAAAACCCGGTTAAATTTGTTTTGATGATTGAATACTATTAGTCTATGAGCTAGTTGACTTTAAAATACAGTCTAAGCTCTCAAGCTAATGTTTAATACGAGTATTTGCCCATACTAAGGCCTGTGCAGGTATATTTCACAAGAACTTTGGACAGCTGCCATTTTGTAACGGATGAACCTTTTTGAACGCGGTTTCCGGCAATGAACTCCACTTGACTAACCCTTTAAAATGGTGTGCATATCAACCTATGCTTATATTAAAGATTATGTACCTACTCCTCATGGGTCGTCCCCTGGTAGAGGTAAAAAAATTACAATTCTTGGAAAAAGTAGTTTTCATACATGTAAGTTGATGTGAAAGGTTTGAATTTTCTAACGGATTCAGTTAAAAAAGATATTAAACCGTTTCCAGACTTTTTTGTCACCCTGTATATATATATATTTGTGATCCAATGTATTTTATTGAAGATTATTTAGCCCCCTTCGAAAAGAACTCGAATGTCGTGATTTCATCTCTGCAGAGTGTAGTGTGTGTACAACTCTGAAGGCGTTATATATAAACCACATTAAAAGAACCGATGTGTTATCCATGATATATATATATAATAAAGAACGGTTACAATATTAAGGTACGCACAAACAAATAAGTACAGCCAAAGTAGTTTTAACATTAGTTATATGGAAAGTTCCCTTTAGAAAGGAATTACGACTTTAAAGGGCATTTTTTTTTTTTTAATAACAGATAGTTTATGCGCAAGTTTTCTCGACATGACGAACATTTAAGTATAGCCAATGGTTTATGGAAGTGTGACTTGTAGTTTGTTGTTTTAAAGTAAAGTGTTATGAAACATTTTGCCTAACTTTTGAATGACTCTGGAGAGTCGACGAGTATTCAATCTTAACCCAATGTGATATGGATATCCGTATTAAACCTTAAAATAAATAAAAGTGCCACGATTGAATGAACA